CCCCAAAACCCCAAAACCCCAAAACCCCAAAACCCCAATCCATTTTTAAAAGATTGAATATATTCTATATTATTTCCGAAGTTTCTTCTTCCTGAACAAATAAAATTTCCTCTCTTTTATTTTAGAAATAGGGGGATCATAATGCCCAGGCCCAGGAAGAGAATCATCTGCCTTCTCAGGATATCTACTTTTGAGTGAATATGCTGGCCCTGCTGGTAAGTTTCCCAAATGTTGCCTGTATTCTCCAGGGCCAGGAGCATCATTTGGTTTATCAGATGGTCTTTCTGAAGAACTAAATCTCCCTCCTTGAATTCGAACATCAAGGTTATCGTTATTATTATAACTACCTGGTCCAGGACTCTGATGCCTTCCTTGAAATAGCTCTTGATTCTCTTTTACACCAGTAATAGAAAATTTAGGGCCTGGATGCTCTTCTTTGACCTTATATGCCCCAGGGCCTGGAGTGTCCTCACCTGGATTTTTAGAGTTATTTCCCTTGTGGTTTGGGTCTCCTGTAAAAGAATACTTGAATCTTTTTCCATGCCCAAAAGTAGCAGATGCAATACCATTGTTGAATTTATTTCTCTTAATGTCATAAGCCCCTGGTCCGGGAGAATCATTTTGCTTGCTTAAATCTTCTTTATACCTTCCCAGTAGAATTACTCCTTTAGTATTACCTTCAGCCCCGATTCCTTTAGGATCCTGGTAAGATCCTGGACCAGGTGTGTCATAATTAGGAGGTTTCTCTTTAGGTCTTGACATAATTATCACATTCTTTTTGGTTTTACCAAACCCATTTGAGTCCGGATTATAGGAACCTGGCCCTGGAAGTGAATTATTTCGTTTAAATTTCGAACTTTTCGATCGAGAAGCAGCATTCCCACCTGCAGAGAAGCCTCGAGAATTTCTTCCTGCTGAAAACCCTCTGGAATTTCTTCCTCTTTCATTATAAGTACCTGAAATTACAGCTCCTTTTCTAGTATTTAGAGTAGAAGGAATTTTGTAACTTCCAGGTCCTGGCCCATCTGATTTAATACCTCCTTTAGGTGGCTTAGGAGGTCTAGATCCGAATGAAATTGAAGGTATTCCCTTCTTCACAAAATCATCACGAGGGTAGTAAGTTCCTGAAGCTGGAACAGCAGCCTTTTCTCTAAATATTGGGTCTTCACTCACTGCTCCTTTTATACTGAAGGAAGGCCCATGAGTCTTGTTAAATCTATCAATGTTATATGCACCTGGGCCAGGTGAGAAATGTCTCAACTCTCTCTGTTTAGGCCCTTCTTCATTTCTCGATAAAATAGTGACTGATTTAGCATTAGTTCCAAAATTAGTCATGGTTTTATACGCTCCTGGCCCAGGGGTAAGATGCCTTTCTCTATTTTTCTTCTCAAAATTTGGATCAGGAGGTTGCCCAAAGACTACTGTGTTTGTCTTTTTGTTATCACTCGGATTATATTTGCCAGGGCCAGGTACAAACCTATTAGATGTAAACTCTAACATATGAGGACTTCGTCCATAAATTAAGGCAGAAGGGTTCTTCTTCCTTATTGCTGAATCATCAGGATTTCTTAAAGGGACTTGTGCTCTAGCTTTCTCTTCAATTTTGTTAACTTTTGGTCTTCCAATAAGGATGGCTCCAGGTGATTTGCCTATAGTATTTTCTATATTTTATATTGCCCAGGTCCTGGGAGAGTCCTCCTGAATTCATCTTCTTGTTTTGGACTCACAGAATTCGAGTATTTAACAGCAGTCAGTGGTCTTTTAGGATTATAATCATCTCTGTATGCTCCTGGTCCGGGATTATCGTTATTTTAAGCTGAGATCACGCCTTTTATCCTTAGATAGAGAGAAAGAAGGGCAATTAGACTTCTCCTTGATGTTATAGTTCCCTGGTCCAGGTAGAGAATTGGAGACTTGATCAGGTCTTTTACCTTTTAATGTAACAAAAGGACCTTCCTTGCCCATTCTATCAAAATAACGACCTAAAATTTAAGGGAACGGTATACTTGACTGGAACTGATTATCCATATTCTTCTCTTTCTCAGGAGTTTTGTTAAAACGCTCAGCTCCCCCAAACAAAACAGTTGGTTTAATCTCTTTATCTGTGAAGCCTTTATATTGATAACTTCCAGGGCCAGGAGAGTCTTTCAATTTTGTTTTGCTATTAGCTTTCTCCATAGTATCTGTAAATTTTATACAACATTAATTTATCCAAGGGGTTTTGGGGTTTTGGGGTTTTGGGGTTTTGGGG